CCAGCTGATAAAACCACAACCTGGGCGCCCCTCTACAAACAAGCCCCCCCAAGAGCTTGTTTCAAGTGCAGAAAAGAGGGACATTGGTCAAGGGCGTGCCCCTCCCCCAGATCTCCTACCACCCCATGCCCCAGATGCCACAAAAAGGGCCACTGGGGGTCTGATTGCCCAACCACCCGAAGGGGAGGCTGGACGAACAACCCCCATCCTAAGCCCGCCGTAGTGGGGCTGGCAGAAGAAGATTGATGGGGCCCGGGGGCTTCTCGCCCGACCATTTCCATCACCAAACAGGAGCCCAGGGTTACTTTAACAGTAGACGGTCACCCCATCTCCTTCCTCCTAGATACAGGAGCCACCTTCTCAGTCTTGTGAGAATACCGGGGCCCTACCACGCCAGCCATTACTCCTATAGTCAGAGTAGGAGGTAAACAGATTTTCCCATTAAACCCCCCACCCACCCTTTTATGCACAATCCAAGACAATCCCATACCTTTCTCCCACTCCTTCCTGGTTATGCCCCAGTGTCCCATCCCTTTACTAGGACGAGACATCCTTTCCCTCCTCCACGTTTCCATAACTATATCCACTCCCACAGCCCCCAGTACTCCCTTTCTGATGGCCCTCATAGCCGACGACCCCCCTCTACCCAATGAAAGCTCCGGTTCTGCCCTCATACACCCTGTAAATCCCAAAGTTTGGGACATTACAAGCCCCTCCGTGGCCCTATGTCCCCCTGCCTCTATCAAATTATGTGACCCCTCTCAGTATATCTGTCAGGCCCAATACCCCCTAACCACTTCAGCCCTCATAGGCCTCCAACCCATCATTCAAGATCTCTTAAACAAAAATTACCTCAGACCCACTCACTCCCCATTTAATACCCCCATATTAGCTGTTAAAAAAACCAACGGATCTTTCCGCCTTGTCCAAGACCTTCGCCTCATCAACATAGCCATTGTCCCTATCCATCCCTTAGTTCCAAATCCATACAGCCTCAGCATCCCACTTCTCAGTCCTAGATCTCAAAGACCCATTTTTCTATCCCTCTAGACCCCTGCTCCCAAGATTTTTTCATCTTCACCTGGACGGACCCATACACAAGACATTCTAAACAACTCACTTGGTCAGTTTTGCCACAAAGCTTCCGAGATAGTCCCCATATTTTTAGACAGGTCCTAGCTCAGGACCTCAAACAGTTTCATCATGATCACTCCAAGTCCACCTTATTATAATACATGGACAATCTTCTACTCTGCAGTCTCTCGTGAGAACAGTCTCAACTTGACACTGCCTCCCTACTTAACCTTCTAGCTTCCAGAAGTTACCGAGTATCCCCCGTCAAAGCTCAAATCTCTTCCCCTCCTGTCACTTACCTCAGATTCCTTCTATCTCAACAAAGAAAGTCCATTACCTTAGACAGAAAATGGCTCCTCTCTGACCTGCCCATTCCCAAAACCAAGACAGAAATCCTTTCCTTTCTAGGCCCTTTCTAAGCCTAGCTAGATATTTTAGAACGTAGATCCCTAACTTCTCCCTGCACCCTGTTGGCAAGACCCCTATACAACCTCAGCAAGAGCCCCCCTAAAAAACCATTATCCTCCTCACCCCGACACTCCTTCATTAAGCTCCGTCAAGCCCTTGTAGAAGCCCCAGCTCTCCATCTTCCTGATTTGTCGAAGCCCTTCTCATTATACATTCATGAGAGGTCCAGTCAAGCTCTAGGAGTCCTAGGCCAATATTATGGCCCATCCTTTGCCCCAGTAGCTTATCTCTCCAAGCAATTAGACCCCACAGTTCGGGGATGGGCCCCCTGCCTACGAGCATTAGCCGCTAGACAGCTCTTGCAGAAAGAAGCTCATAAACTGACATTCAGGGCGCCCCTTACCATTCTGTCCCCACATCACCTAAAAGATCTCTTAACCTACAAAAGTTTACAGACTCTCCCTCCCTCCAGACTCCTGACCTTACTGTCCTCTTTCCTCCAAAATCCCGTTCACCCCCTTTGCCATCCATACCCGAATCATGACTTTTTCCTCCTTTACTGCTCTCTCGCTTTTTTTCCTCATTCCTATTGTCTTCCCCGCCACCCCAGCCTCCTTTGTATGGCGATTCAAAGTCAGAGAGACTTACACACAGCATCAAACAAAAGTTACTGCCCTCATTGCCACACCAGACTGCCCTCTGAAAAGCTGCTCTGAGCCTTTATACCTCCACTTTCCTCCCTCCACCGAAGTGTTCACTAGCAGCTACCCTTATTCTCCCTACCTCTGCTTCCTCTATGACCAAAAACAAGCCTATTGCAGGCGATGGCCAGACACCTACGGGAGATGTCCCTACTAGTCTTGCACCATTCACTACATAGGTAACTTCCAGTACCCACAGTATTACTCCTCCAACCGTTTCATGAAATATCCCAACGGCTCATTCTCCTTATCAATCCCAGATCCCTGGGACTCTCGATGGGCTGCCAGAGTCACAGCCTCAGTTTACTACGGGGGGTCCTCGACCCCCCACAGTACCCTTCATATCTCTCGAAAGTATGTTCCCTCTCATTCCCAGATCTCTCAAGTTGCATCAGATAGCAGACATTCCGAAAAAGTCATTATCCAAACTCTTGATAGCGCCTCTTCATCTTCTTATCCCCACCCCTCTTCCCATTTCTCCTACTCTTCATTACAGCTCATTCAGGACACCACCATCTTTCTCAACCACACCCTTAACACAGCCAATTGTTTCTTGTGCGCATCACTACAGCGCCCACTGCTGGCCGCCGTGCCCCTTAATATTTCCAACTACTCCTTCCATGCAGAAAGACAACCCCTCTGCCCCCTGGCAGACATACCCCTATGGGAACCAGAATACGCAGATAATCTCACCATCCACCACTGTGTAGGCCCAACTCCACCCCCCTCCAGCGCACTTCACTGCCTCTCTATCTACACCCCTACCTCCGGCTCTAAGACTTTTACGCAACCGGGACACTTCTTTTAGTGTAATGGCAGTCTTTTCAACTCACTGCCTCTCAACTCCGATACACCCTGCATTCTCGTCACCCTAATCCCACAGTTAACACTTTACAGCATGGCAGAATTCCTTGAGCTCCAACCTCCCTTGCCCTCGCGCACAAAAAGAGCTGCTTTCCTTCCCATCATGGTCAGTAGCTCTTTGATCACCTCAGCCATTGGGGCAGGGTTTTCGGGAGAAGCCTTGGGTCACTCTCTATAGGCAGTTAGAGATCTCAACGCCAAACTTGAGGGAGCCCTGACATCCACTGCCGATTCTCTAGCCTCTCTCCAAAGACAGGTCACTTCGCTAGCTAAAGTCACCCTTCAAAACCGGCGGGCCCTAGATCTGCTTACAGCCGAGAAGGGCGGCACCTGCGTCTTCCTCTGGGAAGAGTGCTGCTATTACATCAACGAATCCGGCATTGTAGAAACTGACATTACCAAACTCACCGACCTTGCCTCCAGTCTCCACTCTGCTTCCAATTCCAACCCATTCTCGTCAATACTAACAAACCCCCTCCTCACCTGGCTCTGGCCCATTGCAGGCCCCATAATAATCATTCTTCTCGCCTGTCTCTTCTTACCCTGTATAATAAAGTTCATCAAATCCCAAGTCGGAAAAATCTCTAATCAAGCTTTCAACCAGCTTTTACTCAGGAACTACCAGCTTCTGGCCACAGAAGATCCCTCACCCTCACGTGACCTCCTCACCACACGCTGAGATGGACCCCTCTCTCCACTGGAAACTGTTCCTGGAAACAATGGCCGCAGACGCCTGGCTCCTGACACCCATATCCTCTTGGCACCATTGGAATCAACAAGTCCTCGACCTATAGTTACAGGGAACCTTCATTGATTTCCAACCTGAAGAAGTCCACATCTACTCATCCTTACTGTGGGGAGTCCTATCAACCCTTTCCTCCCAATCCTCAAACCCTCACTCCCTTCTACGCCCCTGTTCAGCAGGAAGCAGGCAGAGAGAAAGCAACGTCCACAACCCCATAGAGGAGAAAGGGGGGAATGAAGGGCCCCCACCAGTAAGATGGCGAAGTTCCGGCTTCTCTTCGGGGTAATCGGTTCCCGCCGGCGCCACCTGAAGCCCAATCACCTCTCGCTCCCCTCCCAATCCCAGCACCTAGCCAACAGCCAACAGTCCCGTAGAAGTGACACCTCAATCAATTCATACCCCTTCCTATATAACCCAGCACCTTTCCCTAATAAAGCGAAACTCTCCGGTGAATTGCTGCTGTGTGTCGCTCCTTTCCTTTCACTTACTATCCTGTAAAACATTTGCATCCAACCAGTCTAGTACATGAGGAGTGAAATGCTCCTAAACTGGAATTGGCAGAGTGCTTTAGTATAGATTACACTAGTACTCCATCTATTGGTATAGTTAAGCCTATTGTACAGATGAGAAAGCGGAGTCTTAGGTAAGTTGTTAGTAAACTGCTGATCTGCCAAGACTCCAACCCAGGTCTTAAGATACCTTGGGTTTGGGCTTCTTCCACTCCACCGAGCCCTTTCCAAAGGTCAACCTGAAAATAAGTAATGGGCAGGACCTATTCGAGGGTTTGGAGGGGAGAAACAAGACCACTGACCTTGGTTTTGTTTTTTTTTCTTCTCCCCTTTTGTTTCAGAGGATGAGTTTCTTTTGAATTCACTATACTTTTGCATTGAGCCGTCTGGTCCCTTTAAAGTCTGTGGTGGAGTAACTATAGCCGCGCCCCTTCCCGTCCCCCGCCTCCGCGAACTGTTCTAAGCTCTGCCCACTGGCTTTAGGCCCTCAGCCAATTAACAGCTGCATCCGGGTTCCTGGGACTGGGAAATCGGCCTCGTAACCAGGCAACTACTAATCTTCCAGCTCAGATGGCCTGCGGATTTTCAGTTCAGCTAGTCGCAGACCGCCCGCGGCTTTCTCAACGGCCGCTTGCTGCGGCTGCGTGCCCCGCCCCCCGTTGCCATAGCAGCAGTACACAAAGTTTCCTTACCCACCTTGCCCTCTTCCAAAATAGTCCTTCGTCAGGGCCAAGACCCTCTCCAGAACCGCTTCTAGTTGAGCAGAACCAGTGCTGCGCCCCTTTGCGAAGGAGGACTAGGTGGGAGGGTTGGAGACTGCGTCAGGGTAGTGCCCTAAAGGGGCCAGGGAAGTGGAGCTAAGCGGGGTGGGAGAGTTAGCAGAAATGGGTGGCATAGGGGTCAGGGATGGAGGGAAGAGGAGGGATCTGTAGGGGAGATGGATGGGGAACGTGGATTTAGAGGGAGGTGGGAAGAACTGGGGAAGGGGCGTCCAAGAGGCAGGGTGACAGCTGCAGAAGGAGCTTTGGAGCCCCTGTGAAGGGCAGGAAAGGTCTGGGAAGGCATCCCGAAGGGAGAGGGGTCCTTGGTGGGAAGTATGAAGTGGAAGTTGGGAGTCAAAATGAGATGCTCACAGGGAAAAGGAGGGAAGTATAGTTGGGGGGAGGTCTGGGTGATGGGGTGGTGGTAGGGCTACCCTATTAATGGAGGTGATGTTCTGAGGGTTGGGGGATGCTGAGACCTCTTTCTCGGTCCAGTACTGAGCTTGGTCTGACTCCAGAGCCTTCAGCTCTTCTTCAGAAAGATGTCAGATGAAGATGATTTGGATGACTTTGAGCCAGACCTGGATGATCTGGAAAAGGAAGATGATGAGGAGACAGAGGAGTGGGAGGATGACAGGAAAGAGGAAGAAGACATCTCGGAGAAAGTGAGAGCATGAAGGCCAGGGGCCCTGAGCTGAGGGGCAGGGTTGGGCTGGAAAGGGACACCCGCCTCCACTTCTCTGCAGTGGATACCCACTCCTCTCACAGCGGACATGATGAAGGAAGGGCTTTCTCTGCTCTGTAAGACGGGCAATGGACTGGCTCACGCTTATGTCAAGCTAGAGGTTAAAGAGAGGTGCGTTCATGGGGGACCGGAAGAGGACTGAGCTTGTGGGTCTGATCTCCTTTCTCACCCCCATTCCTGGGTGTTTTGGCTGAGCATTTGGACCTCTCTCCTCCTGGGCCAGTGGGAGGGAAGGATGGGATTTACTTTTCAGGAGCCCTGAGAACTCCCAGCATCAAAGCTGGCCTGGGGGCTTTCCTGCTGGACTCCCTCTCTTGTCCTGCAGAGTGTCAGTTCTTGGCCCTTCACAGACACAAAGTTCCTTGCCTGCTGTGAAGAACACACCTACCTTCTCTTCCCATCCCACTGCTTCCAATCTATCACCCATTCTTTTCCCTATCATAAGCCTTCTCCACTTTGCCCTCTGCTTTAGCACCTCTTCCCTTCTATCCCTGCTGGATTCTTATCCTAACCCCAGCCTCTGCCATCTCACAGGGATCTGACAGACATCCACTTGCTGAGTTCTTACATCCATCTACGCTATGTGGATATTTCTGAGAACCACCTGACGGATTTGTCTCCACTCAATTACCTCACCCACCTGCTTTGGCTCAAGGCTGATGGCAACCAGCTGCGGAGTGCCCAGCTGAATGAACTGCCTTACCTGCAGATTGCCAGTTTTGCTTATAACCAGATCACTGACACGGAGGGCATATCTCATCCTCGTCTGGGCAGCCTGGATCTCAAAGGTGCGTCCTTAGGTTGGGGTACACAGGATTCTTTCCATCCTAGTGTGGGGCCAACAAAATTGGGCAATGTGGTGCTTGGCTGAGCCACACAGCATTCTGCATGCATTCATTCATTTGTTCACTCATCATGATTCAGTATGACAGTTCTAGGTGCTGGAGATATGGCAGTGAACTACACAAAGAAAATTCCTATTCTCATAGCTTACATTCTAGTTGGGGGAGACAGACAGCTATCAGTGAACACAAAGAGCAAATTTATAAAGTATGTTAAAAGGAGATACGTGCATGGAAAAGGCAGATCAGGGTAAAGGGAGTCGGGGGCACAGGTGGCAAATCCAAACAGGCTGGTTAGGACAAGCATCACTGAGAAGCTGCCATTTGAGCAAGGACTTGAAGGAGGCACTCCTCATTCGAGTGGGATGATATGTCCATCAGGCTCTTGGGCTACCAGACCATGTACCCCAGGCTCCTGGAGATGTTAAGTCTAGAGCTGCCCTTCTTTATATCCTCCTGTCAGTGGAGCAAGAGGATGCAGAGTCTCCCAAAATTCAGCCCCTATGCTGAACATTCAGAGTGGCCCTCTGAGTTCTTGACACCCTCCTGCTCCTCAGGGAACCTCATCCACACCGTGACAGGTCTGGACCCCCGAAAGCTGATCAGCCTGCACACACTGGAGCTGCGGGGGAACCAGCTGAACAGCACCCTGGGAATCAACCTTCCTAAGCTGAAGAAACTCTACTTGGTAGCTCACTGGGTCAGAGGGTGGTTGGTGCAGGGAACAGGGCACTGTCCTGAGGGCCAGGATCCCTGCTTCTAGTAGGCTCAGCTACTAACTTTATCATCATAATAATTGGCGTCATTTATTGAGTCCTTACTTGGTGCCAGATGCTGTGGGGTGCAAAGTTAAAGCAGATAAGTGCTCCTTCCTAGGAAGGCTGATACACAGTGTGTAGATAACAGAGGCAATTTGCTTTGATACAGGTAGCCACATAATCTGCTGTAACAGAGGTATATAAATCAAGCTAAGGAGGCCACTTAAATGTTTAGTCTTTTAGACTCTTGAGCTTCTTTATGCCAGGATGGTGCTGACGCCATTTCTCTTCAGTGGAGCAGTGGGGGCCCTGGGCCTGGGGGTGGGTGGAAGCATCTCCTCCTGGATCACAGGTGGCTTTGGTGGGATGAGCAGTAGGGGGTGTTACTGGTGACCTTCCTCTGGGCTGGCAGCTTCTCTTCTTTACTTTCTACACCCATTTCTGCCAACCTCCACTGCCCTCCTTCACCCCTCCCCGGCTGCCTCTTGGACCTCCTCTTTTGCTGCTTCGCCTTCTGACTCCTCTTCCTTCCCTAGCCCTGCTCCCCGTCCCAGTCTACCTACTGTATCTCCTGGGGTCTAGGCCCAGAACATGTTGAAGAAGGTGGAAGGCTTAGAGAACCTGAGCAATCTCACTACCTTGCATCTTCGGGACAACCAGATCGAAACTCTGAGTGGCTTCTCTGGGGACATGAAATCACTGCAGTACCTCAACCTGAGGTATGAGCCCCCTCCAGGCCCCAACCTGCCCCTGCCCCTGACCAGGGGCAGCTTGTGACCCCGTTCTTCCCTAGTCCCAACACGAGTCCTAGCCCACTCCCAGATTCTCCCCACATCCTCCATCCCCAACCTCGCTTCCTTTCCTTACTTTCTTCTGCATTTAGTTCTAATTGCAACATTAAGGCTTTTATAGCCCCAGACCTCTGGATTCTTATTCATTCAATTCACAGTGAGATTTGAGAATGTGCCATGTGTCAGGCTTTGTGCTGTGTTTTGGGAACACCTGAAGGAATCAGATGGTAATTTTTCTTGAGGGACGCCCAGTTGGGAGCCACCTCTCTTGGTCCTATGGCACACAAGTTTCCACTGCCCTTCTACATCTCCTGGGCCCCCACCCCCTCTCCATTTCCTGACTCTCTGCTCCTGGGCCCGCCCTGGAAAGGCTGGCTCCCTCACTGACAGAAAACACAAGATGTGTTTAGGTTTGAGGAGAAAAGAGTTATTTGAAAGAAAATCCCTGGATAGAAAGGCACTGGGATTGGGGTTGGGGGGGGGGGGTTCTTTCAGCAAATCTTGTGTGATAGAAGATTTCCTTTGTGTCTTTCTTTAAGCAAGATGTAAGGCAATTGCCTTCTTAATCAACAAGGCTGGCAGTGGAAAGAGAATCTCCAAGCAGGGAGAGGTGGCTGTACCTTGAAGCCCCAATTACTAGAGTAATCTCTCTCTAATTAGCTCTGCCACCATGGGCTGGTAGGGTTTTCCTACTGATGGTCTAGACAGAAGTGGAAGACCCTCCTCCATGGCCACTGAGTGGAGTTGTATGGAAGTAAGTGAGGGGGAAGGGGCTGTCTCACTGCCTGGGAGGTGCCTCTGGGGCTAGAGATGCCAAACCTCATGCGGTGCAAGTAGCGCTCCCTGTGAGAACCACTGCAAGGGTCAGTACCTCCACTGAGACTAGGCTGAGACATTTAAATCTGGTTTCTAAAGGCAGGAGGCAAGAACAGGAAACCAAACACTGGGTGCTGTACAATGAGGCACATCCCGAGACAGCTGCTGCTTCAGGCTGCTTCCCCAGCTCTCCGCTTCTTCCTGTGGGACGCAGCTACCTCCACAAGCTTAGGTCCTTCTCTACCGACCTGGGTCCTAAATTCTGACCTCTGAGTAGGTGTGGCTGACACCGAAGTCTATCCCTGCCAGGGAGATTCCCTCCTTCCCCCAGTTACAGGACAGGGTTGTGACCTAGCTTTGCTGTTCCAAAAGGAAAAACACAACACATTACTGAAAAGATTATGGCACTTAGGGATTCCTTGAATGGCAGGGGCAGGACAGGGCTGGACAATGCCTCTGCTGCCTGTCTGGCATTGCCTGGCAAGCCAACCCACTGCGCAGATATTGCTAAGGAAACTGGGAGATTCCCCCAGAGGCTCCATTCCTGGCAGCTGACCTCCAAAGCCAGTTACTTCCCAGTGAACCCCTCCTGACCACACTGGCAGGGGCAACATGGTGGCTGACCTGCGAGAGCTAGCCAAGCTTCGGGACCTGCCCAAGCTGCGAGCCTTGGTGCTGCTGGACAACCCATGCACCAATGAGAACGACTACCGCCAGGAGGCCCTGGTGCAGCTGGCACACCTCGAGCGCCTGGACAAGGACTTCTACGAGGAGGAGGAGCGGGCTGAGGCTGATGGAATCCGTCGGAGGATGAAGGAAGAGCAAGAGCAGGAGGCTGAACCTGATCATGGCTCAGAAGGGGACCAGCCATCGGTCTAGCAGCAGTTCTAGCCTCCCAGGGTAGTAAGGAAGCCAACAGGGAGGCAGGAAGAGGAGGCCAAGGGCCTGGCAGATGGGGAGAAATGGCTATAGGAGGCAGTGGGTGAGGAAGGGGTAAGGCAAGGAGAACCCTTGGGGAGACCAGGGCTAGGAGCCTGGGGGTGTCTCAGGGTGAGGAGAAAGGACCAGAAGGGCCTCAGGGGAGTGGAGAAAAGGCTTAGGAGATACATCAGGAGGCTGGAAGTGAGACAGGGCCCATGGGCTTAGACAGGGTAGGGTGAGGGCCTCTGGGAAAACATAGCAACATAATCCACTGTGAGATTTGCTTTGGCCTGCTGGGGGACCCAGCTTGTTTTTCTGACTTTACCCAGGTGCTGCTTTTCTTCCTCCGGCCCTAGTCAAATGATTTGCAACCTGGGCAATGTAGCAAACAAGCCCCAAACAACTACTAAAAACAGGAAGGATTCCATCTTGAAAATAAGATTGCATTTTAAAACCCAATTTGTTAAAAAGTAACTTTCTTAACATACTCTTTAACAAACAGACAATAACTCAGGCCACCTTGGGAACAAAGCAGGCAGTCTTGGGTGATATGCTTCCAGACCAGGAAGCTGCTATCCTGGGAGGAAATCAGCAGTAAAATTCTTGTAAATAACCAGGTAGACTAATAAGAAACATAGAGTTTCTTCAAAGGTAAACATTTTGGGACCACTTAGCAGGTGTACATCCCTAGACCTTTGTCTCTCAACTGGCCTATAAAACCCCTAGACAGCGCACCACCCTGGGGCTCTCTTGCCCCTCCTGGCCTGAGGCACGAGCTCTGTCCTCTCGCTTTCTCTCTAAGTAAAAGCCTCTGCCTTGCTCTCCTACCTTGAGTGTTTGTGAAGTTCATTCTTTGGCTCTGCAAACAAGAACCCCGGCATCAGAAGAGTAGGTGAATAGAATTGGGGTAGCAGGCAGAGATGTAGATGTGGGGTGAGCAGCCACACCTGACTGAGAGTGAAGATCAGCTGGACAGGACAGATCTGGGGCATGGTGGGGGGCCTGGGGGGAAAGTTGTTGGTGTATGAGGATGGCAGCTGGACCTAGGAGATAAGGCAGTAGAGGAAGATCCTGTACTGAAAATCTGAAGCTAAAAGTAACAGGACACAGGTAGCGGGAAGAAAGAGGGCAGGTAAGGCAGAAAGAGACTAAGGAGATAAGGCCAGAGAGGTGTGGTAGCTGGGCCCTTCCGACGGGGGGCAGAGGCAGCAGAGCCAGTGTGGTGGGGCTGGGAGGCTTTACTTCTGACCTCTTCCTCTAGGAGAGCAAGACCCTGGCCCCAAGACCTGAGAAGATTCCCAGTTAGGGGGGCCACCACATTCACAGTCCTCATCCAGAAGCAAAGGATGCCTTCTCTTGCTCCAGCCCAGGGAACTCATCACAGCCTCCCGCCCAGGTTCTGGGAGGGGTGCCTGGGCAGCGGTGCAGGTGGGCCTGGGCCCTGCGTAGAGCCTAGGCAGGGGCAGCACTGCTGGGAGCCAGGCCTGCATGGGCTGGGGCGGGATGGCGGGCGGATACCTGCAGAGTTGGCTGCGGAGGGGCTGCGGAGGCAGCGGGCTAGGGTGATGTGAACAGTGCAGTTTCTGAATAAAGAGACATTTTCATACTCTTGCGCCTGACCAGGTTTGTAAGACACTGTCATGGGCTTCATTGGCTGATGACTGGTGTGAGGCTGTGTCTGTTACTTCCTAGGGGGTCAGGCGTGGGTCTGAGGGCGCGTGGGCAATGGGGGGCCAGGGCCTGGGTCGCCTCCGTCCCCCCACCCCTCCCCCCGACTCCATCCCCGGTCTGTCCCCCACCCGCGCCGCTACGTGCGCCTCCGCCCGCGGCTCCTGACTCATCGGGGGCTCCGGGTCACATGCGCCCGCCCGGCCCTATCGGCGCCTCCCCCCGCCCGCCCCCCGCCCGCCAGCCGGGAGTCGCAGCCGCCGCCGCCGCCACCCTCGCTCTCCCTGCGCCGCTGCCACCACCGCCGCCGCCGCCACTGCCATCGTCACCGCCACTGGCTGAGTGCATCCCCGAGGTGAAGCCCCGGCCGGGCCCCTGCGCCCCTCCGGTCCCCTGCCCTGGCCGCCGCGCCCCCGCCCCTCTTCCCCGCCTGCGCGCATCTCTCGCCCGCGGCGCTGCGCACCTGCTCCATCATCCGCGTCTCCCCCGGACGCCCTCCTTTCCCTGTCCCCTCGGGCCACTCCTCTCGGTTTGTGTGGCTGTTGCTCCCTCCTCTTTTGGGTGCCAGGCCTCTCCACACCTGTTTCTTTCAAACTGCACCTTTCTCCACCCTTGCTTTCCCCTCTCCCCGCGTCCTTTGCGATTCCACTAATTTTGGTGTCGAGTTCGGGGTCTCCCTGAGCCATACATTTTTATCCTGGAACGTCCCTTGGATTTGAGGAAATGTCTTCTCCCCACTTCCTCAGCATCCCGACTTCCTCTAAACCATTTCCCCCACTGCGCCCCACATCTATTCCTCTCCTTTTACTTTGCTTCTCTCTGCTGCACTGGGAGGGGTGGGAGGAGGGGATAATTGTCTAGGGCCAGGGTGAGGGCGGGCTCTGCAACCTCCAGGGACAGAAGGCCTTCCCCAGGACCCTCTCCCAGACTTCTATACTGTATAACTCTGGGGAGGGGAGGGGCGGGCATTTGGGAGAGGACTGGGACCTTGGAGTGGGGGTTGGGTGTTAAGTTGGGGTGGGATGAGGGCTCTGGAGGGGAGGCCCTAGCTACCCAACAGCTTCTCCTCTTCTTAGCTCCAAGGAGAAATGCAAGCCTGGCAGCCATTAAGCTCTGAGGCGATCTTGGGGAACCCCACCAGCCGGCCAAGGGGGCGAGGGAACCCCTGTTGTACCCCTCCCTTCCTCACTGCGGTGTCCTCCCATCTCACCATTTGATGTCACCCTGCCCCCCACCGCAGTGACCTCCCCTTCCTCACTGCATTGACCTTCTCCTCTCCCATTGGTGGTGGGGGGGGATTCCTTCCTGAGACAGAGACTGCAGCCGGCTCCTCCCCACCCCCCACCCACTGCAGTAACCTCTTTCCCATTCCTCCCACCTCCGGCCCCTCCTACTGATTTCAGGCTCCACCCCTATAAGCCTCTTATCTTTCTCCTTCCTTCCATTCCACCCAAGGAGATACCAGCTATCATGTCCATAGAGAAGGTCTGGGCTCGGGAGATCCTGGACTCCCGTGGGAATCCCACAGTGGAGGTGGATCTCTACACTGGCAAAGGTAATAGGCAGGGCCTGGGCCATCCCACAACCCTATGCTGGGTTTGTCCTGGCCTGGGATGGGAAGCTACTTTCATTCCCCGTGGGGAGAGGGTGCTGGGCCAGGCTCCCAAGCCTGGATTGTGGGGTGGGATCCTCCTTGTCCAGGGGCACCAGGCTAAGTGGCCTCTGTGTTTCAGTTCAGTATATGTGATATGCTTGCCTCTGCATGCGTGTGTGTGTGTGTGCGTGCATATGTGTGCTTCTTGCATGGCTCCATTTCTGTGGGTTCCTACTGGTGCCTGTGGGACCTCAACCAGGCAGATGAGGAGGGCACTGCCTGTGCACCTGCCTCTCTGCGTGTGCGTGCCATGTTAGCGAGCAGGGCATGTGGCAGGCCAGAGTCAGAGCTGGAAGGCTGAAGGAATTCCTGCTCCCTGTGGTGTCTTCTCTTTCCCTCTCATTCCATGTTCCTCTTCCAGGTCTTTTCCGGGCTGCGGTACCCAGTGGAGCCTCTACTGGTATCTATGAGGCCCTGGAGCTAAGGGATGGGGACAAACAGCGTTACTTAGGCAAAGGTGAGGCCCTGTCTCTTTTCTAGGTTGTCTCATCCCTCAGCGTTATACTCCTACCTCATACCAGTCCCCGACCCTCTTCCTGCACGCTTTCCTCTGTTTTCCTTCTGCCCCCCTCAAGCCCCACCTGACCCCATCCAGCCTCTCCGTGTCTCCCCAGGTGTCCTGAAGGCAGTGGACCACATCAACACCACCATTGCGCCAGCCCTCATCAGCTCAGTGAGGCCCGCTCTTTGCTGGGGGTGGCAGGACAAGGGACCTGGAAGGAATCCTGGATTAGGGGAGGAAGAAGAAGAGGGAGAAAGGCTCACCTCTTGGTAGTCATTGGTTACCAAAGGAAGGGTGGAGAGAAGATCTCGTATGCCCCCTGCTGCCATGGGGCTCCAGGTCCCCTAATGCAGACAGGCCACTGTCCTAGGAACCTGATTGGACCCCGGCTGGATGCCAGCCTGTGTGTGAGGGGGTGGGGGACTCTGCTTTAGGGCCCAGCGTCCATCCTGGCCCTGGGTGATGGTGGCTCTGCCCACAGGGTCTCTCTGTAGTGGAGCAGGAGAAACTCGACAACCTGATGTTGGAGTTGGATGGGACTGAGAACAAATGTAAGCAGAGGCTGGGGGTGGGAGGGTGCCAGGGTGGGGGATGAGTGGGACAGACAGAGCCCCAAAGGGGCTGGTGCTGTGGGGCTTCCTTAGGCAGACTGTTGGGGGACTAGTGCTTCTTTCATCCTTCACCCAAAGCCAGGGCAAGAAAAGATGTGTTTAACAATAATCAAGGGGGTGAGATTAAATAGAAGGAGGAACTCCACAGCATGAAGAGGGGGAGTTAGCTGGAGGTAGTCTGTGGTCTCCACATGTTTAGAAATAGGTGTAGCTCGCTGCCCTTTATAATCACTTCCTCCCCACCTGATCTTTTCAGGAGAGGGTGGATGGGGGTGCAGGAATGGAGAGGGAAGAGAGGGTGTCTCCTTTTGGGGAGTAGAGGTGGAGGCAAGGCTAGAAGTGCAGGAGGCGTTTTTGCTGAGTGCCTTCCTCTGTAATCTCTTAGCCAAGTTTGGGGCCAATGCCATCCTGGGTGTGTCCCTGGCTGTGTGTAAGGCAGGGGCGGCAGAGCGGGAATTGCCCCTGTATCGCCACATAGCTCAGCTGGCCGGGAACTCAGACCTCATCCTGCCTGTACCGGTGAGCTCTGTGCATGCCTGGGCCTCTCCTGGGGTGGGTGGGGAGCATGGAACCCAGGGAGGCATGAATGAGGCTGGGGGCCAGGGGAGAGGACTGGGGCATCTGAAGAGAATGGATGGGTCGGTATACTGAGTTTGGGAAGGTGGGGGAAGTTCAGGGTTTTGGGTTAACACTCCCAGGGGCAGACAAGGATGTGTTTTGTGACTTTTCTGTCCTGTGGCTCCTAGGCCTTCAACGTCATCAATGGTGGCTCTCATGCTGGGAACAAGCTGGCCATGCAGGAGTTTATGATCCTTCCAGTGGGTGCTGAGAGCTTTCGGGATGCCATGCGACTTGGGGCAGAGGTCTACCACACGCTCAAGGGGGTCATCAAGGACAAGTATGGCAAGGATGCCACCAATGTGGGAGATGAAGGTGGCTTTGCCCCCAATATCCTGGAGAACAGTGAAGGTGAGGGCGGGAGCCCTGCTCCCAGCCAAGTCTCACTCCTGCCCAGGACCACTTCACCAAGTCCTATGTAGCATGGGGGACAGGGCCCTTGAGCTAGAGGTACCTGTCCTCAGGGTGGGTTCCAGAGGGCCTGCTACATTCACATGCAGGCCCAGGAGGACAGTTCACCTGTCCAGTGATCTGTCAGCAACTGTAAGTTCTCAGTGGGTCCTCTGAGACCGCTGGTGGTAATGTAGGTGACCTGTGGGCTCCATACTGGCCTTTAACTCTGAAGGATTCTCAGTTTGATGAGATACATGAAACTCCAGGGGAATCCATTCCATCCATGTCTATCTCAGTCCTACCCCAACCTTTTAGGCCTTTGGAATCCCAAAGTTTTCTCTGTCCTGGGAGAAGCTGTATAGTGGACAGAAACAATACAGGTAGTGGCAAAGAGTTGAGGTTCTAGGGCCAAGTTGCCTGGATTTGAACCTTGACTTGAATTGTTCCTGGCTGGTGATCTTTCTTACTTAACTTCTCTGGGCTTGTCTTTCTTATCTTTAAAATGGGAGTAACAGTATCTACCTCTTAGCATCGCTGTGAGGATGAAATGAAATCATATATAATGTGCTTAGGTGACATAGTTAGCCCTCAATAAATGATAGCTATTATCACTATTATCTTTTAATGAACACCATTGAAAGAATTCCTCCTCTGCCTTCCTAGAAGATGGCTTGTTGTTCCCAGACCTGGGGTAACCCCAACACCGTAGCCTGCTTCTCCCCAGCAGCAGACCTCCACCTCTGTTCTGAATTTGTTTCTCTCTTTCTTCTGTGCCCACCCTTCCTGCTGTATTCCATCCCTAGCCTTGGAACTGGTGAAGGAAGCCATTGACAAGGCTGGCTACACAGAAAAGATTGTCATTGGGATGGATGTCGCTGCCTCGGAGTTTTATCGTGATGGCAAATATGACTTGGACTTCAAGTCTCCTGCTGATCCTTCCCGATACATCACTGGGGACCAGCTGGGGGCCCTCTATCAGGACTTTGTCAGGGACTATCCTGGTGAGAGCACAGGGCATGGGGGAGAGGGGACATGCTGGGATAGCTCTGGACCTTACAGGGTGTCAACTTAGGTACCAGGTGGAGGTGTCCTAAGAAGAAGCTGAGAACCAGGGCTGGAGTGCAGGGACCCCCTGCCAAGATGCTTTGTCTTGGTGTAAGTGTGCGCTTAGGTACCTGTGGTGTCCTGCTCTGTCTACTCTGGGTCCTGATTAAAATCCTGGGCTCTGAAGCAATTGAGATCATGGGACGGGCATTGGAAGATCCCAGGCAAGGTAGGAGGGTGACTGGACCCTGCAGGGAATTAGCACATTTTGATATTTTTGACTGAGGGGCTTGTGGCTGCTGGTTGGAGCCGGAGGGAGGTGATGTGTGAGGAGAGCAGGCCGAGGAGGGCTGAATTGCCCTCTCCAGGTCTGCTGAGGGCTTTACCTCTGCATGGAGGCAGCGGTTCCATCTGCTTGAGAGAGCAAGAAAAAATGGACATAAGTTGCCCAGTGGAGGATTTAGAATCGTGAGGGGTGTCTTCTTGGTCAAGAAAATAGGAGAATGCACAGAGAGGTTGTGAGAAAGGTTCTGAACCCTTGTGTTTTGAAGGGTTTTATGAGAAGCAAGGTAAGGCTCAGGGCTTATTGCAAGGGAGTGAAGCAAGGATGAGGGGGCCCAGCGAGCCAGGGCATCTACCCGTTTCAGAGGACCCAAGGGGAGTTCCTTCCTGATGCAGAGACCCTGGGAGGCTCAGCAGTCCCTCATTGGTCTCCCCACAGTGGTCTCCATTGAGGACCCCTTTGACCAGGATGATTGGGCTGCCTGGTCGAAGTTTACAGCCAATGTAGGGATCCAGATTGTAGGTGATGATCTGACTGTGACCAACCCAAAGCGTATTGAACGGGCAGTGGAGGAGAAGGCCTGCAACTGTCTGCTGCTCAAGGTCAACCAGATCGGTTCAGTCACTGAAGCCATCCAAGCGTGAGTGCCCCCTGGCCCTTGCAAGTGGCTCCCCATCTGATCCTGCCCCCAGATGTTGCAGGGAGTGGGAAGTCGGAGTCACCTTCACAGCTCTCCTAATTCTGCTCCTCCCGCCCCTGATTCTCTGCCCCCCTCCCAGACAGCTTTCCTCCTGAGGTTTCTTGACATAGACCAATGTTGGGGCTAGGAAGAGCGCTCAGTGTGAGGGGCTGGGGGTCAGTGCTGGTGTGTGCATGCAGGTGCAAGCTGGCCCAGGAGAACGGCTGGGGGGTCATGGTGAGCCATCGCTCAGGAGAGACCGAAGACACATTCATTGCTGACCTAGTGGTGGGGCTGTGCACAGGCCAGGTGAGTGCGAGAAAGACCTTTGTGGAATTGGGTTCTAGACTCGGGTGGGTCTCTCCTTCCAGGTGTTTGTGGGTGTCGGGGGAATTTCAAGGGACTATAAGTTCTTTCAGTGAGTGAAGGAGCAGCCAGTGAGCTGCTTATCTTTGGGGATGTTTCAGATCAAGACTGGTGCCCCATGCCGCTCTGAGCGTCTGGCAAAGTACAACCAGCTTATGAGGTGAGGGAACCTGGGGAAGGGGAGCCCGGGGCCCAGAGGGTTTAAAGCTCTGTTCATCCGCTGTTCCATCACCAGTGCCCAGGGCCTGGAGAACAGTGAATGCACAGGAAGTGTTTCTTGTTTTATTTTTGTTTTTGAATGGTGGGTTTGCTGATGGCCTGATTGGGCAGGTCACTGGGAAAGCCAGGGCATGCCCATGCTTGGGCCTGGACACAGGAGCAGGTGGCATGAGGGGCTTGGATGGGGGACTCCTAGAAAGAGAAGCGGGATCCTCCTGTTTCTTTGACTCTTTTCTTTCTGCTCGTCTCTCTCAGAATTGAAGAAGAGCTGGGGGATGAAGCTCGCTTCGCTGGACATAATTTCCGCAATCCCAGTGTGCTGTGATCTCTCCACTTGCCTGGAGACTTGGAACCCCTCTCCTGTCCTCCTTGGACCTTTTTCTTCCTGTCCTGCTCTATGACCTTTCACCCCGATGCCCCGGCTGAGCTGCTGCGCTGTTCCTTGGCTTATCCTGGCCCTGCTGCCTCTGCTTTCCACCCTCTGGGTCCCACACTCTCCACTTCTACCTTTCTAGTCTCTTTCCTCAAAAACTGGCCATGGGACTGAGGGTTATAAGGGGTGCATGGAAGAACCATCATAGTCTGCGATGGGAGCCTCAGGGTTGGTTGCTGAGGTGTTTAGAGAGGGTCCACGTGGCGCTTGTGCTTTGGGCTGGTTCTGTGTTTTCCATGTTGCCCACCAGCCAGGGAGTGCATGGTGCTGGGGTGGAGGGGAGTGGTGGCTGCGTGATCATGCCTGGTTTACAACTTCAGTGTATTATTTACTCATTTATTTTTCACTCATCCTGTTACTTAAGCATTTCCCCATTAAGTCCAGGGCCCAAAACTGGCCTGACTGGAGGGGACTGTGTGTCTGTATCTCCTGTGGCTGTAGATTCTGAGATTATCTGGGTGGGAGGTCTCTCTGGAAATGAGAAGGGTAACAACGGGCCCTTGCTGGCAGTTTCTTTGTGTGTACGAACCCGTAACCGAAGCCTGGTTCCATCCAGCAGTGGGCTGCGCATCTGGGGTCTCTTCCCAGTAACTCTCTCCCCAGCCCCAGCTTGCCTGGTCTCCCCCCAACCCCCCAGGGCCATGTTCCACAGTCCTCACCACCTCTGTGGTGCTGAAATGAGCACCACCATTAAAGTCTGAGTCACAGTGCGCTGTTGTCTGAGGAGTCTTACTCTGGTAAGGGGAGAGAAGATGGAGTGCCTGGAAGTTGGTGAAACTGGATAGCAGAGCTGGTGAGATGCACATGAGGAAGAAAGCAAATATGGCCAGGATGGCAGCCTTGCCAACCCCACCCTGGCCTGGCAGGGACCATATTACTCCTGTCTTCTCAGCAGCAAGCCTGGACCCAGGACCTAGGTGAATTAGGGGCTCTTAACCTGGGGTCCAAGAATTCCTAAAAGTCTCAAAAATTTTGTGTGCATATGCATTTTGGGGGCAAGGAGTCCAAGTGTTTTCCAATGATTCCCAAAGGGCTTTGACCAAAGGAGGGATAAAGCTGTGGACTCGAGTAGCTCCCATAGAGGGCCTCTTCCAAACAAAATCTTGGCTGCTTCTGGGCTGGAACAGCCTTGCATCATCCCTGGAGGATGGGGGACTGGGGAGGGCAAATGGTACCAACCAGTAGATACAAAGGTGGCCTGAGGAAACTGAGTCTTCCAGTAAACTGGAGATTCACGACCTGAAGTGCTCAGCAGGCACCTTGACTGGGTCAGCCTGTGAGGGGCTGAGACCCCAGTAAGCCTTCAGCTCCAGTGGAGCCCCTTGCTGAGGGGTGGGGGGAGAAATCCTTACAGTGCTCCAGAAGTGGGCAGTGCCGTGGTTGGTAGGAGCTGCACGTGGGGAGCGGTACCACTAGGGGGAGGCACAGTTCCGCAGGCCACCACACTGGGCTAGCGATGAGTGGGGATGGGCGGAATCTCAAGGTTGTTTCCTCAGTGGGCCTCCCACTCTGCTTCTCATGTTCTGGTCCTGGGCTTCTGCGCCAACCTGCCCAGCACCAAGACTAGAGGGATTCCAGTTCTGTGTGGGCGGGACCCACTGCTCTTCCCCTTCCTGTGTCACTGACACCTCAGCCATTTTCAATTCAAAGAGCTCCGGTCCCCTCTCCTCTGTGCTTCAGTGATCTTTCTCTGTATGTCTCCCCTCCTCTGTATGTCTCCTGGTGCCCCTTGCTGTTTCCCTTGGGGGCTCACTGTCCTTTTCTCTGTGCTCTTGTTTTTCCCCCTGGGGTCCATTATATCTATCTGGTAACTTACGTACTGATCAGGACGATTCTGGTTGGAGCCACAATTCCTGACCTTTGCCCTTTATTCCCTCCTTACCATCTAGGTCGCCACTCCCGCAGCTCTGTCCACCACCTCTCAGGTACTGGGCTGGACTGGGTTACAGCTAGCTCAGCCTGGGCCTCCTAGGCCCCTCTCCACTTTCCCTTTGTGCCGTTGCCTGGAGACCAGTAGGTTGTGGGGGGCCGGGACTGACTGGGAGCTGGGGTGAGGGATGATGGGGTGTATGTGTGTGGGAACTATGAGCCTGGCCCTCAGGTAGGGGAGGAATTGGAGGGTTTAGGCCCTGGCTTCTCTTCTGACACTTCCCATACCCTTTTCCTACCTGTGCCTAAATTTTTCTTTTAAGCTCAGATACATCAGTTTATCAAAGTGGTGAAAAAATGGAGAAAAGCTCAGGCTGGAAGGGAGTTGGGAAGGGCCTGGGCCAGGGCCCAGTGGGAGACTGGGCTGAGAAATGCAGAGGAAATGCGGTAGGGAGGGAGGAGGGGAGGAGCCTGGGAACAAAGTGGGGGGAGGGGGCAATCCTAGGGCTTTGAGGACAGGGAGGGAGCACTGGGGGAGGGGGCAGGAGGCTGCAGGGGTGGGGGTCTCTGGAAGACCCTGAGGGATGAAGTAGGTGGGCCTGGGGTAGTAGAGTGAGTGCTAACCAATTCAGGAGAGCAAAAAAGAATGATACATTCTTGGGTGAGAAGCCTCGCTCGGGTTCCCTAGTGCTTTAGAAGCCGTTTAGAGCTTTTGGTTATTCCTAGAACTTGGCTGAGCCCGGCCAAGGAAATAAGGGGCAAAACCTACTGAGTTTGCTACCGAGCCAACCTCCTTCCCAGGAGGCTTGGTGGGATCTTGCCATTCAGGGCCCACCCTTGGCCTCTAGCTGACCAGGCCCCGCACTGACCCGACCCCCACCCCAAATCTAGAGAGTTACTGGGGACTCCCAATCCAGACTCCAGCTCCAGTTCTTCCTGTTTCCCTGCCTGCCTCCCTCCCATTCTCTGGCCTTCCCAATCTCTGCTGCCAAAAATCACCCAGTGTCTTGGTGTCCTTTGTCCTGGGAGATGTTGCTGCTTGGTGTGGGGCCAGGGAGGGAGCCCAGAAGACATTGGTGGTGGGCGGGTAGGGTGCTGCCTTTAGGACTGAACTGACAGTGTCAGAGTCTGGGGAGCGTCTGAGGAAAGGCAGAGCCTGTGGTCTATATGGGGACCATCTCCATATTAGAATGATCGGGGACCCAAGGCATGTAGGGGTGGGGCTCCACTGTGAGGCTGATCCCCACCCAACCCCTTCCCTGTGGCCCCAAGTACCATCTTCAAGTAGATCTGAGAAGGAAAATAGAGATACCACCAGCCAGAAGGGCCTGAGGATGGTGTCCCACGCCTAGTCTTCGCTTCCCCACTTCGGGCTTGCCCTCCCCCATGTCCACCATTTCCTTCTGCTCTCCCTTCTGTATGTCCATCACTGGCCTTCCCTCCACAGTGCCCTCAAAAGCCTTGTTTATCTTGCATTTCTTATGGGCTCCCCCTTCTATCTGCCTTGTTTTACCAACCAAGACTCTCCTGGAAAGGCCCTCCCATTGCCAGCCCCAGGGCCTTCCACCCTCCCATCCCACCCGGCCCCAGCCTCCTCAGGCCCCGCCTTCATTCCTACGGACTCCGCAGCTTTCCCTTCCCTTTCCACACTGACATTTCCGTTCTTACTTCTTTCCAGCTTTTCTTCATCACCCCCAAATTCTTGTATTCTGTATTCTTTTCCTAACACCAACCACCCCCACCCCCAAACTATACTCTTCCGGAAACCCATCCTTTCTCCATCGGCTCCATTTCTTACCCTCTTTAGGACCCCAGTTCTCAATTCCATCCCAATTCTCTCATAATTGCCCCCCAACCTCTCCCGCTACAAGTCTGCCACAGACTGTCACCCCAAGCTTTTTCACCTCTCCTTGTCACACTCCCCCAAAGCCCCTGCGCAGCCCCATCTTCCCAGACCACCCCATTACCCCAGTCTCTGCCCACACCCACAGCCCCCACCTCACATCTTCCATAGACCCCCTTTGCCCTAACTTCTCCGGTCTCCCCCATATCTGCCCCTTCAACCGCAGCCCCCCTTCTCTACCCCTCTCCGGCGCCGGGCCCGCGGGCTCCCACCTTCGCCGCGGCGACCCCCTCCCGGCCCCGGCCGCCCGGCCCCGCTCGGGGCCAACTCGCACGGCGCCTCCCCCTCTCCGGGTCCCCCGAGCTCCCCCCTCGCCGCGCGCCTCGCGCGCCCTCCCTCGCGTCTCCCTCCTGGCCCCTCTCCCCGGCTCCTCCGCGCTCCCTCCTTCTCCCTCTTCCTCCCTTCTCCCATCCCCCTCCCCGAGCTCCCTCCCTTCGCCGTCCGCTTTCCTGTGCGAGTCGCCGGACGCGCCGCCCAGCCCGTGCGCAGCCCCGCGTCGGGCCGGGGCCTCGGGCCGGGACCCTTCTGGGGGGGGACCACCGGCCTCGGGGAGGGGACAGGAGGGGGCGAGGGAGCCCACCGCCCGGAAAGGGGCGGGGGCCGCGGGCGGAGGCCGTCTAGGGGCCCGGGGATCGCGCGAGTGCGGGGGTGCGGGGCGGGCGCGGGCGGCGGGTCAGAGACACGCAAAGGGCCGGCCGGGCCGCGGGGGCGGCGGCGCGGCTCGGGCTAGCAGCGCGGCTCGGGCGTTCCGGCGGCCGGGGGAGGCGGCGGGCCCGGGGAGGGGCCGAGCGAGAGTAGGAATCGGGCCTTGCTCCACGGGCCGGCGGACGATCGGGGCCGGGTGGGGGAAACGGGGAATGGAGGCCGCCCTCCGGGGTCGGGGCCGCCGCCGCCGCCGTCGCGGCGGCGACTGAAGCCGGGAAGAGGCGGGGGAGCGGCCGTCGCCGCTCCCCGGAGGCGCCGGAGCCCCTAATCCCGCTCGGAGCCAGCCAGCCGTCCCGAGCTACAACCAGGTAGGATCTGCTACGACCTGGGCCCCGGGCCCGCCCGGGTTCTGGCTCGCGGCTCCCCACCCCCACCCCTTCCAGTTCCTCCTCCCGCCGCTGCCGCCTCCTCCATTTGTTATGTTCCCGATCCGGTCCCCCCACTGCGGGCAGTGCCCGGCCTGAGGCCGGGGGCTCAGAGGGTGGGGCTGGCCCCAGAGGAGGGATGGGGCCGGGGCACCCGGTGGACCGGGAAGGTGGGGGGAGGTGGGATGGTCTCAGGAGGAGGCCTGATGGGGCAAGAGACTAGCCAGGACCCCGGGATCTAAAAAGGAACACCGAGGTGGAGGGTTGGCGGAGGCAAAACGGGGGATGCCCGTGAGGGGGTTTCGGGGAGAAGGCAAAAAGGAATGGGGAGATGGCAGCGAGGTGGGGCACGAGGGCTACAGGAAAAGCCCCAAAGGCCCAGAACCCGGGCTTCAGAGCCGGGGATTGGGAGCGCCGGGCATAGGAGGGAGTGGGAAATGGGGAAGGGGTGTGGTAGGTGGAAAGAGAGGGATTGTGGCTGATGAGGGAGGAGAATGGAACCTGGGAAAAGGGAGGCTGGGAAAGGGCCACGGAGAGGTCTATCTTTGAGAAGAACCTGAGGTGTTCCCGTGTGAAAGTGGGAAGGTGATGCCTTTGTGACTCGGTTTTCCTTCCCCTATGCCAGTCACCTCTGACCCCGTTTTCCCAATCCCAGATATAGTTACTTCTTGGAGAGAGGCACACGGAGGCCCAGTGGTGTGGGGCCTCCTAGAGGGAGGAGGAGGCCCGGACACTGAAGGGAGAGTTAGGGAGAAAGGCTCTCTGGGAGGGTGGAAACAGGAGAGAATTGGGAGATCTTCTAGGCACTCCAGGCAAGTTGTGACCTCCACTCTCAAATCCCCAGAGCACCCACTGCCCCTCTAGCTGC